TGACAGGATTATGGAACCTAACGATCCCCAAATCTGCCTTTTGACATTAATTATTGTAAAATAAGAAATTAAGGTCTGTTACAGTTGGCTACCTTTAAGGATATTCTTCTGAATTATATTAGTAAATTAGAAAGTGGGCATCTTAATTTCTTTATCAACTCCACAAGCTCGATCATGCATGCTGATATGTTTAGTTTATGGATAAAATCCATCCAAATTAGCAAGTGTTGTGGGTGCTGTGAGGGTGACAGCAAAAGCATAAATTGGTTAAGTTTTTACTGTCTGTAACTCAAGCACTCGTACTTCTGTAATATATTTTTCATGTTTAGGTGAGGTAAGATAAATTTACTTTCATCATGATTTCAAAATATAGTGACTCATTCGAGAATATCAATCTAGAAATCTACCCGTTATGCTTGTGAAAATAGATCGAATTACTTGTTTAAATTTTGTGGGCTTCCATGACATATTGAATTTCAGGGTTTCAGCTTAAAATAGTAGCTTCGTTAAAAAATTAGCTCGATTTAAACATTGATTACTATGTTATATCAAAACGACATGAGCTTTTTACTTCCGTAAATACTTGACGAAAATCCGAGGATATGAACGCAATTAATTAGGTTGAAAGCATTGTCCCATGGAAAGGCAATAACGTAAAGTAAGTCAATTTGATATTTTCTTTCGTAGTTGGTGCATTTGTGGAAAAAGGCACCGTAAGTCGACGCACAAGAGACTAATCAATGGCCAGGTTGAGCAGAAATAGTAATCAAACTTCATCTTTCTATTGCACAGTACCTTTTTGACACAGGTATGGTGATATTCTTCTGTACAAGACATGAGAGAAAATATATATATATTTATATGTACTGAAAGACATATGAAATCAATCATTCAAATGACGCGAGAAATGATAGATCCAAAGTGAAATAAGGAGAAAGATGAAGCAATAGAACATGGGGTCATGATACACATACACAATAGCTGACACCTCTTCTTTTTTTTTTTCTTTTTTTTTTCTCGGTAAATATAAAATTATATTGATCAAAAATCATGTGCAAGTATGTCAAGCATACCCGGACAAAACAAATCAAACGACTTGTTCAATTACACTGGACATACCCGGACAAACAAAAGAAAAGATGTACTAACAATAAGATTAATGACCTAACACTAAGTATTCAAAATGAATCAAGACGTGCAGATACAAAGAAAATATAACTTTGTATACGTGTTTCTTAATTCGTCTAACAATGCTATCCAAGTGTGGTCTAAGATTTTCAAAAATCTCCCTATTCCTCACCATCCAAATGTGGCAAACGGTACTTTCAAGTGCAATTCTCTTAGTTTTGCTTTACCAAGATATCCCACGAGCCTCCTTTTTTATCAATTTCAACGCGCTCGCTAATGTCAACAAATATCTTCTAATGCCAAGTCACTGTCGAATCCTCTCCGACAAGGGTGATGTGAACTGTTGACCTCGCAAATTGGAC